AACAGACAGTAGATAATGTAACCTGGCTAAAAATGATAGTAAATAATGTAACCTGGTTAAAACAGACAGTAGATAATGTAACCTGGCTAAAAATGATAGTAAATAATGTAACCTGGTTAAAACAGACAGTAAACAATGACACCTGGTTAAAACAGACAGTAAATAATGTATCCTGGTTAAAACAGACAGTAGATAATGTATCCTGGTTAAAACAGACAGTAGATAATGTAACCTGGTTAAAACAGGCAGTAAACAATGACACCTGGTTAAAACAGATAGTAAATAATGTATCCTGGTTAAAACTGACAGTAAATACTATAACCTGGTTAAAACAGACAGTAGATAATGTATCCTGGTTAAAACAGACAGTAGATAATGTATCCTGGTTAAAACAGACAGTAGACAATGCATCCTGGTTAAAACAGACAGTAGATAATGTAACCTGGTTAAATCGTGTGTTTCTGTGAATAAACTTACACTGACTCTGAGAATCCGCCATGTTGTGTCGGTGCTGCGGCGGGTCAATAACCGTAAGTTTGTGTCTCAATGACTGAAGCTAAAAGTTTAAAACGTCCGCAGGTGAAATTCGCTCCGTAAAATGCAGAAAATTAAATTTAAGCTTCACAAACTTTCCTCTTCCTCAACTGTTTCCTGACGCAGGTTTGAAAGCTCCCGCCGCTCTGTGATTGGCTGAACCAGAAGAATGTAGCCGCGTTGCATTGTGGTCTCTGAAGTTTCCTGCCGTTTAAGCCAAATTAAATCTATTATTATCTATATCTATATGTTTATTTTAAAACGTGTCACCTGTTAGAAACATACCTGTACGAAGTTCGTAACTCAGAATGCTCGTTAAACTGTTTTGTTGGTTCAATTTCTTCTCGCGAGAACGTCCTCGTATCCATAGCAACTGAGCCAAACTTCAACAGCTAGCAGAGGGTTAGCATGCTAAGTGCTAACGGAACTCAGAAAAAATGTTGTGTCAGGTAAACAGTGGACAGATAAACATGGAGAAGAAGCTCTGTCTTCAGCCGGAGTCTGTGAGTGTTTGTGTGGAACTCTTGTAAGCAGCTGTTTAACACCAGGTTAGCGGCAGGTTAACAACAGGTTAGCAGCAGGTTAGCAGCTGGTCAACAGTATTAGAAGTCACTAATTTCTGGTTCTTTTTCTGTGACCTTTGTTCAGTCGTTTTATTTCATTAAAAATTTCTTTACGTGTTTATTTACACCAACATTACCACTGCAGAACCCTGGAATAAAATTGTATATAATATTAAATACATAAATCAACACATACTACTTTTAAATAAATATCTGTTCTCAATATACAAATAAGCTATCATATAGAATATATAAATGTGGTATTAGGAAGTAAACGACCCCATCAATAAATAAATATAGTCCTTTAATAATGCCATTTCTTAATGTATTAATACTTAATGTTTAACATTTAATGCTTTATTTTATTTATTTATTTAATTTATTGCATAGGAGTAGTTATGTATTTATTGCATTCTAAATAAAACAGCATTTCAATACAATTAAACTGATTCAATAACCAGATAAGATTAGCAGAACGCTGCAGGTTTTCTGTTTCATATTTTCTTGATTAAGAGTTGACTTGAAACTGCTTTCTTAATGTTTTTTTTTTAGACAGATCTGTTGTTTTCAGTACACAGAACACTATGAAGCATTACCAGTTAGCTCAGTATAATGAAATCATCTGTGTCAGGAACCAAACTGTTGACCAGGAGTGATTTTAGCTACAGCACAATGTTGTTATACTGAGCTTACTATTGTGCGTTCAGGTGTCAGTCCAGCAGCAGGAAGCCTGAAGCTCCTGAAAGCTGTGAAAAAACTCTGAGTTCAGTTCAGAATCTGCATAATCATCTGTGTTGTCTGCTGGTGAAGAGAGTTCAAGTGCTGCTTCGTCCAGCAGGTGGTGCTGTGAGCCAGTAAGTGAGTGCAGTCCAGTGAACTATCACTGACACAAGTGAATGAAAACCATATCCCATCACAGTAATCAGATAACTTCTAACAGTATTTTCTCTGATGTCACACTTACAAACTACCAGTTTAGATTTCCTGTATTACAATTTATGCCCTGCAGCAGGAACTCAATGCAACTAAAGTCAGTCCAGCTTTGATTGTTGAGATTCTTTGATTTCTTCACTCCTTCATATGTCCACCTTTAGTTCTAATGACAGAGTCGATCCTCTTCAGCATGGAGGACATCAGAATTCATTTCTGCTCACATGTTCTCACATTTTTCACACAATGTTTTATCCAGCTGCTCTTTGCTGGAGGGGTTGTGTTGCTTTACTTTCTCTTCAAAATACCATAAAGGTGTTCTGTTGGATTCAAGTCAGGACATGGACTGTCCACATCGTGGTTATACTTTGATCTTGTGCAGCTGGAATATTCCTCTTCCTCAAGCTTCTGCAGGCTGGAAGTCATCTTTTTTAGCAAATATTTTGGTTTATACACAGACATTCATGGTGCCTCTATAAATGTAATCTCCCCAACACCTTTTGTACTCATGCAGCTTCATATATCACACTTCCACCTCCATGCTTCCACACTATGCACTCACTGTGGTCACCCTGGTCAGGTTCTTAGCAAACATGCTGGACTCCATCTGACTCCAACAAATTTTTCTTGGTCTTGTCTTACCAAAGGATGTTCTCCTAACATTCATCATTCTTCTTTTTTTTTTTAAATTAATAATTAATTTAATGTTCTTTTGTAAACATTCATCTGGAAGTTTTGTTCTAAGCAGTTAAGCAGCAACAAAGGTTTTTTCTTGTCCTCTGTCCATAAAGGTTGATGTTTTGAAATGTCCTTTACACTGTCTGAGCCTCACGGAAACTCTGATTTCCATTGATAACCCCTGTGCCAAGTCTGACGCAGCTGTTGTCTGTTTTTCACAGCTAGATTGTGAAAGTAGTTCAGTGTTTGTGGGGTCATTTTAGGAGAACCACCACTGCAGCTCTGATTAGTGGTACTACGGATCCTTCTATACCTCCTGGTCACTGCTGACACTATGTGTCAGTGATTCTTAGTCGGTGAGCTGTACCTTTTCCAATCTTGTGAAGTCTTTGTCAGATTGTTCAGTTCCCCCGTTCAATTCTTTTCTATGTGGAGTCATGATGCAGATATGCAGATGGACACAGCCCATAGGTCCAAAACTGACCCCCCGTCCAATGAGGAGTATATATATATACACACACACACACACACACATATACATTATTGTTTTTGTTCTTTTTCTGGTCTCAGCCGTTGAACATGAAAACACAAGTTTAAAACCATTACAGAATATATTACAAATGTATATCAGTTATTGATAACAACAGCCAGTTCAAACTGATGTTCAGATGTGTACCTCTTTTTCCTTAGATGGCATCCAGGTGAGATTTCCTCTTGCTGATCCAGCATGGCATCTGATGCGTCTCCTCCAGGTGAGGAAGAGGTCAAGGTGAGGAGGAGGAGGAGGAGGAGAGAGGAGCTGAGGAAGACAGAGGACATAGAGGAGTTAACGTCTGCTGGGCACAAAGCTCTGCAGGAGGGACGGCCAGAGGATGCTCTAAGACACTTTAAGGAGGCACTGAAGGCCGCCACACAGGTGAGGGTGGAACCAACAGGTGAAGGTCAAAGGTAAACATGTGAGAGCTTGGCTAGCAGGTGAGGGTCAGAGGTAAACAGGTGAGGGTAAGAGGATTAGGACCTCTTATTAGGCTCTCCCATGATGCTCTGCTGTCCCCAGCTGCAGGACTCCCGGGTTCTGCGGGCCTGTTCCTTTAATCTCGGAGCAGCCTACGTGGAAGCAGGCCGACCTCAGAAAGGTTTGGACCTCCTGCAGCAGGCTCAGCCCGGCCCGAAGGCCAACCGCGTCCCGGACCTCCAGTTCAACCTGGCCCTGGCCCACAATGCACTGGGGCAGAGCCAGGAAGCCGCTGCATCCTTCCTGCAGGCTGCTCAGCTGTATCGGTCGCAGGGAGATGGACGCAGTGAGGGTGATGCCTGCATGGAACTGAGCCGCTGCTACAGCAGAACCCAGGTTAGAACCAGAACCAGGATTTCAACTAGGAACCTAAACTAAATCTGAGCAAGAAACTGATTTTGAATTTTAACTAGAACAAAAACAGAAACAGAATTTTGAACTGGCTGTGCATCTGGACCAGAGCCTGAACCAGAACACATGTGACACTTGTGTTCAGGTGTGTCAGGTTACAGGTGTGTCTGCTACAGGTGTGTTAAGTAACAGGAGTGTCTGTTACAAGTGTGTCAGGTAACAGATGTGTCTGTTACAGGTGTGTCGAGTAACAGGAGTGTCTGTTACAAGTGTGTCAGGTTACAGGTGTGTCAAGTAACAGGAGTGTCTGTTACAAGTGTGTCAGGTTACAGGTGTGTCAAGTAACAGGAGTGTCTGTTACAGGTGTGTCAGGTAACAGATGTGTCTGTTACAGGACTGGTCTCTGGCGGTTCAAGGTTTCCTGCGGGCTGCAGAGAGTTACAGAGTGGCGGCCATGTTAGATTCTGCAGCCAGTGCACTGAAGGAAGCAGGAAGTCACATGATCCAATCAGATGAGTTTAGCCAGGATGACATCAGTGGCGTGTTGACAGAGTGTCTGAGTCTGACGGACAGCATCAGCGACCAGAGGATTCTCGGTAATAACCTTTAACAAACACATCATCTTACCAATAAATTCACTGATTGATATCCACTCTGTTGTCATCCAGGTGAGCTGTACCTGTCAGTGGGTGTGTCCTACTGCCGGCTCAGGTGTTTCCAGGAGGCGGTGCAGTGTTTTCAGTTGGCTCTTAGCCCTGTGACTCAGTGCCCCCCCCTGCTGGCCAGTGTGTTGCACAATCTGGGAGCTGCTCTTAACTCCTTGGGACAGTTCAGCCCTGCAGTGGGCTACCATAGGCTGGCTGCAGGCCTGTATGGTAGGACAACACACCTGTACACCTGTCATACACACTTGTTCACCTGTCGTACATCTGTAACACACACCTGTACACCTGTCATACATCTGTCATTCACCTGTGTGTGTGTTTGTGTGTTTGTGTGTGTGTGTGTGTGTGTGTGTGTGTGTGTGTGTGTGTGTGTGCGCGCGCTATGTAGGCTCTCTGGGTGGCCGTGGTGACCAGGCTCGATGTTTTACTAACTTGGCGTTTGCCTGCAGTCAGCTAGGTGATGAAGAGGAGGCAGCAGAGAGCTTCATCCTCGCTCTGCAGGGCTTCAAAGACACTGGTGACAATTGTCTGTCTGTCCATACCTGTCTGTGTGTCTACACCTGTCTGTGCACAGCTGTCTATCTACACCTGTTTGTCTGTCCACACTTTCCGTTTTGTCTGTCCTCACCTGTCTTGCTACACCTGTCTGTGTGTTTAGGATCACAAAGCTCAGGCTCAGGTGTGTTGCCTATTTGTGTGTCTGTGTGTAGAGGATCACCTGGGCCAGGTTCAAGTATGTGAATCGCTGGCTGAGTGTTACCTAAAGCAGAGGAAGCAGCAGAAAGCTGTTCAGCTCTACAAACAGGCTCTGAGTGCGCTCTCTCACTGCCAGGTAACAACAACAACAACAATAACAACAACAACACAAAGTGTACTGTACCTGTGTTGACTTAATTCCAACCAAGCATAGCTCATCTGGTTGATTTTCAGGATAGTGGTGGTTTTCAGGACCGACTTGTGGAGAAACTGACTGCAGCTCTGAGGATGAGTGCTGGGCGGCAGGTCTGACAGCAACACAATACAGCAACATAACACAACAACTTAACACGGCACCCACAACAACACAACACCAAGGCAACTCCAACATAATCAACAAAACAACACCTATAATACCACAACACCACAAACACTGCAACACCCACAGCATCACAACAACACAACACTACAAAAACACCACAAAACACCATCACAACACAACCCACACTGTTGATCGAGAACACCATCCAGTGACATCTCATTGTTGACTGATCAATAGTATAATATATTATTATAATATATTAATATATTAACAGATGTGATTCAAAGCTGATGTATTCATTAATAGGAATCATTTTTCTGCCATTTAGAGGCCACTTAGGCCACACCCACTCAGACCACACTCACAAAGGTCACCTGTTGGACAGCATGTCAGGTAACTGTAACTGTGATACACCTGAGCTGATCAATGGACAGATCAATAATAAGCTGTGTCTTCATGCTTTGCCTCCCTCACAGAAAGGGTGACATCACACAGAGTCCAGGCACAGCAGCCAATCAGCAGTCAGACGAGCAGAGAGGGGAGGGGTCAAGTGAGTCTCAGCTGTTACAAGTAGAAGCTGACCTGACACTTTGCAGGAATCTAACATTTTCTTTTCTTAAACAGGTGGACAAGTAGCAGTAGGAGGAGCCACTGACACATCTGAATACATGAGTGTGGCACCTGGACAGCACAGGTAACACACACGCTACACTGTAACTGCTTCAGGTCCACGGACTTTAGGTCAAGAACCTCCTCTGGAACCCACCTGTTCACCTGAGTGTTTATATCTGTGTTTCCAGTTCAAACCAATCAGACCAGCTGCAGCACAGTAAGTCACTACCACCCAATACACCTGGTATACCTGATATACACATGATACACCTGGTGAACTCTTGATATAGTTGGTGAACACCTTTTGAACACCTGGTGAACACCTAGTAAACATCTGATACACCTCATAAATATCTGCAGAATCTTTCTCAGTGTGTTGTATCAGAACAGTGTCCAGGTAGTGATGTACCTGCATGTGTTTGCAGGTGAACTGTGGTCGGACAGAGGGAACTCTCACTCTGACAGGTGACTGACACCTGTCAATCAGTCTTGATTTCTAACATGTTTCATTTCAATGAAACGTCCCAATAAATGTTCATGTTGTTGTTTTCTTTTAGTGACACTTCATTGGTTCAGCAGACAGAGATCACACCCACCAACTCAAGGGATGTCAGAGAGGCCACGCCTCTTTTGTCCAAGTGGAGGTCTCGGTTCTGTTCACTGATGTAGCACTCGGCTGTCTACTGATTGAACAGTTCACCGATTGTGTATTGATTGATGACTGTTATCAGTCTGACTGAACAAAGACTTTGGTTTCCATGGAAATGCTAAAGGCGGAGTACACCTGAGTACACCTGAGGGCTTTTTCTTAGCATGCAAAATTAAATGGCCTTAAAAATGTCAACTTTACTGTAATAAAAACAGCTTAAAGATTTATGATACTCACCAATAATGAATGTAGTCAGAGTTCCACATCACCTGTCTGAAAGGGCTTTAGTCTGAAACATGTTTCAAAAAGGAAATAAAATCTGCTTCATCACATTTGACACTTTTTCTGCAGTAAAACTTATTTAAACATACAGACTACTATTTTGAAATTAACCTGTGAGTTAAACCTGCAGACGCTGCAGGACTTTTTCTGCATTTACACAGAGGATAAGCAAAATGCAAACCCGAAAATCATCCAGATTGAAGTCTCCAGAATGACAATAATTAACATAAATATTGATGCAGCAGGACAAGATTAATTTATAGTTGATTTATTGCTAATTTATTGATGATTGGTTAATGTACCAGATTCACACTCAGATCACAATCTGCTGTAAACTGAGAACACAAGGATTTTCTCAGCAGGAAGCTCAAACACACAAACACACACAGTGACACACACAGTAACACACACAGTAACACACGCAGCTGTAGCTCCTCCTCTGTGCTGCAGTGTGCCTCTCCGTCTTTCTATTTCTCTTTTCTTCTTCTTCTTCTTGTCTTCAGTGTTTCACCTGCAGCTGCTGAGGATCCTGAATCTGATCATATCTGGTTCTGTGAATAATCCTGGTTCTGAAGGTTCTCCTGGGTTCTCAGTGTTTTCTTGTTGTGTTGGAGGGAACATGAGGAGCAGAGGAGGAGAAACGAGGAGTCCAACCTGAGGAGGAGAAGCTGCTGTGCAGGTAGAACACAGATCTGTTCACTGTTTGAAGCTTATGATTGTGTCAAGCTGCTGCAGATTTCACTTTGTCTGTCATCTGAACCTGATTAGAACCTGAGCGGAGCTTTGAGGCTGTAATCCAACAGCTTTTTGCTGCTGTATCAGGATCAGTTTTCTGATGGGTCCTGCAGCAGCTTTTACTGCTGAGTCGGAAAAATATTTAATGAAGTACGTCTACTGCAGCAAATGTACTTATTTACTTTAGTTATGATAAAATACTGATACTTTACAGTAATAAAGGAGAAGGAACAGCTGTATGTCACAGTTTGTATCTGAGCACTGTCAGACAGGTTGCTATGGTGATAATAATGAAAATAATGAGAATGGCGAACAACAATGAGAACATTAAGAACAATGAGACTAACTGGAACAAGTGAAATGAAAAATATATTTTTTAAGTAAATCACATGATCAAAGGTGTTTTCTGTCAGTTTCTCTGTGCTGAGCTTCACCTGAAGGCTGAATGTTCTCCTTTTCTCTGTTCTACATGCATCAAACACTTGGAACACACCCAGATCTGTGAGAACGGTCTTCATCAGGTGAGTTCGTCAGTCCTGACAGTCAAACTTTAATCAATAACCTGCAGGGACAAACTCTGTTTCACCTGTTCTCCGAAAACAATCTTTAAATTCAGACTGAAGTTTGTAGCTGAACAAGAACAACAAGCTGAACTGAACAGTGTGAGCAGGATTGAATCTGACGTTCTTGTTGTCGTATCTCAGTGGAACCTGCTGGTCGTTTCAAGGCAGCCAAACCTATAAGAGACAACAGGAATGATCCTTGTAGAACCTCTTTACTGAACCGTTCCTGTGGAACCTCCTACAGGGACTGTCAGTTTAGAACCTTTCTGAAGAACCGTCTCTGTAGAAGTTCTTTCAGGAACAGTCCCTGTGGAACCTCTTTCATAAACCGTCAATGTAGAACCTCTTGTGAAGAACTGCCTTGGTAGAACCTCTTTCAGGAACATCCTTGCAGAACCTCTTTTAGGAGTGTCCCTGTAGAACCATATTCAGGAAGACGGCTGTAGAACCTTTTTAAGGACTGTCCCAGTGGAACCTCCTTCGTGAGCTGTCACTGCAAAACCTTTTTGAAGAACAGTGTCTGTGAAACCTCTTTTAGGAATGATCCCTGTTGATCCTTTTTGAGGTGCTGTACCTGTGGAACCTCTTTTCAGAACCATCCATGTAAAATCTCAGAGAAACCGTCACTGTAGAACCTTTTTAAGAGTTGTCTCGGTAGAATCTCGTTTGGGGACTGCAAGGTGGCTTGGTGGTTAGCATCGTTGCCTCGCAGCAAGAAGGTCGCCGGTTCACGTCCCGGTGAGGACACCTGGGATCTTTCTGCGTGGGGTTTGCATGTTCCCGTGAGGCGTGGGTTCTCTCTGGGTTCTCTGGCTTCCTCTCACACAGTCCAAAAACATGTTGTAGTTAGTTGGTGATTCTAAATTATCCATAGGTGTGAATGTGAGTGTGCTTGGTTGTCTGTCTCTAAGTGTAGCCCTGTGATAGACTGGTGACCTGTCCAGGGTGTCTCCTGCCTTCACCCTAAGTCAGCTGGGATAGACTCCAGCCGCCCCACGACCCTAGTGAGGATTAAGCGATGTATAGATAATGGATGGATGGATGGGATAGTTAGGGTTAATCAGTCTTAATGTAACTGTACAACAAATTTGTCCCTCTACTGTGTAACATGCAGTTGCTTAGGTTACCTCTTTGGTGTCAAGAACCGTCAGCCGTGCTGGATGCAGTCATGCGATTCTCAGAAAAAACACAGTTTGCTTTATAAGTAGTTGCAGGAAATCAACAAAAATCCATGTTTCTGAGCTATGTGGTCATGTGACCTGTTACCTCACACCTTGTTGTGTCCAATGAGCTGCAGGGGGCGGAGCCTAAAGCTCTGCAGTGAAGCAGGTGGAGTTTGTCAAAGTGACATCATCAACACACACATACCACACATAGTGACCTGCAGGCCAAAAATAACCTCAGGTCTCTTAGTGCTGTAACTTGACCTGTGTGTGTGTGTGTGTGTGTGAGGACCTGCCTCCCTCCTGAAAAACACCATAATGTTGATGATTAAGTTTAGATCGATTTAACATTAGTTTAATGTTCGAGTAAAGTGAATTGGATGTTAGATTAACGTTATATCAGTGTTGTGGATTACAGGTCAGAGCAGGTTGACAGTAACTGAACATTAATCTGTGTGAAGTGATGTAAACAGAGCAATCAATGCGACCTGATACAGGATTAGTTTGTGTGAACTCCCAGCAGGCTTTGCTGTATTCTGGTGAACTCTAGCAACATTATTGTACTGTCGGTGTTTGATAGACTCAAAGGTTCTGGTTCTGATCCATGTAAAGTGATGAGCTGCAGCCAGTAGACAGAAGCTGCTGCTGGTTTAATTAAAGTGTTTCTGGTTGTTTGTGCTCCTGCAAGCATCAGAATCAGTTTCTTTTCCACTAAAACTTGTTTACTATCAGAGCAGCAGAAAAACTGTTTTTAGAGGAGACTCCAAAAACCAGGTTTTACTGTCACAGGTGGAAATTAATCGACTGCAGAGTCACTGATCAGCTGCTGTAACAATATTGAAGCTGCAGGTTCTGTTCATGAGGCTGTTTGGTTCTGCTCATTAACATGTAGAACTTGACTCTGACATAACTCAGCCAAAGGTTCTGACAAACACCAGAAAAACTTCGCAAAGATACTACCTGATCACATTTTCAGTGCAAACTGCAGCAGCTGTAGGATCCAGCCCTGGTTTTGTTTGGAATATGGTTCTGTTCGGATTCTGGTTCTGGTTATTGGTTCTGGTTCAGGAAAGATCTTCTTTAATCCAGAGAACGTCCAGCAGGATGCAACAGGTTTCATTGATTCGTGTCGACTAACAGCTGCAGAAAAGTGATTTTCAATCAGGAGAAAAATCTGTTCACATGTTCTGACTGAAAAGACAGAAAATCTGATCAAATGTTGGACTTAATCAGATTTTAATCACGTTGTTTCCGATTAAAATTATGTGATTCATTCAGAAACATAATCGCAGAAGCATTTATTTATACAGAAAGACTTATTGTCTCATAACGCTGCTGCTGCTAATCAAATAGCATGTAAATCTATACCAAAAAATGTTCAGGAAGACAAACTGGAACCACAGTCTGTCCTGAACCAGAACCCCCATCTGTTCAATAACCAGAACCAGATGGGTCCTGAACACGGAATTCAATCAGCTCCTGGTTTTTACTAAATTTAAATCGAATCTTTATTTTCGACAGAGCAGCAGCAGGTAAATCCATCAAGGTACTACTCGCTGTCGGCTGACTCCTTATTGGACGCTGTGCACCTGTTTCTATGGAAACCCTTGGTGTTCTGCAGCCCATTAATGAGACTCTTATCTGGGATCTTTAACGAGCACTGACCGACTAAAAGTCTCCATCCAATTAGGACTGATGGACAGAAGGTCTCTGTCCAATCAGAGCTGAATGGCAGGCGGCCGCCAGATAAAACAGCAGACAGATAGGTGGTCTGCAGTGTCCAATCAGAGCACCGCAGGTGAATCTGCTTCAGTCAGACAGGAACAGATAGAAACTCTGAGCTGCTGATCTGAGAACAAAACCTGCAGCTTCTGTCACACTGAGGGGAAATAACTGCCTGAGGCTCAGGGCCCCTGGAGGAGCCACACCATGAGCTGGAGGGGCTAAAGAGGAAAAACACTGAAACTCAGGTTTTACTGTATTTTTCTGACATGATTATTTTGTTATTTTACACTGAAAAATTAACTTACAGACTTTTTTTTCATGGACAGGTGAGTCACACCTGTGGACTTTAATTCTCATTTCTTTTGTACAGGCTGCTACTGGGAGATAAATCCTGTGAATTTGGGCTGAATTTGTAAGGGATATATACCTTTTTGAGAGAGAAGAGTTTCACATGAAATAGAATTGATCAGAAACCTGTGCTAATGGGTCTGTGTGACCTTTACAGAGACGCTCGGTGAGGCCTTAAATCTGCAGGTTTCTAAAAGGATTTCTGAATGACTTTAACTGTTCCTGTATCCCTCCCCTCATCTCCTTCTTCTTCTTCTTCTTCTTCTCCTTCTTCTTCTTCTTCTCTGCAGGATGGCAGGAAACTGGTCCATCCTGAGGTTATCGTCACTGGCTCCACCCACCAGCTCTGTGGCCCCGCCCTCTCTCAACACCTCCCAGTACCCCACCCTCGCAGACTGGGAGGCCCCCAGTTTTACCCGAGCAGCTCAGTTCAGGGTTGGAGCCACCTTTGTCCTCTTCCTGTTCGCCACCTGCAGTAACCTTGCCCTATTGGCCAGCGTGTGGTGTGGGCGTGGCCGGCGGCTGGCATCTCACCTGCGGCCACTGATGCTGAGCCTGGCGTCGGCCGACCTGATGATGACGTTTGTGGTGATGCCACTGGACGCCGTGTGGAACGTGACAGTTCAGTGGTATGGTGGTGACCTGCTCTGCAAGCTGCTCTGCTTTCTGAAGCTGTTCGCCATGCACGCCTCCGCCTTTATCCTCGTCGTAATCAGCCTCGACCGCCACCACGCAATCCTGCACCCGCTGGATGCTCTGAGCGCGCATCGCAGGAACAGACGCATGCTGTTGCTCGCCTGGAGCCTCAGTCTGCTGCTTGCATCACCACAGGTAGACGTCAGCAGGTTGACGTCAACATGTAGGCCTCAGCATGTAGGCGTCAGCAGGTAGACATCAGCACTGGTAGACGTCAACTTGTAGGCCTCAGCATGTAGACATCACAGGTAGACATCAGTACAGGTAGACGTCAGCAGGTTGACGTCAACATGTAGGCCTCAGCAGGTAGGCGTCAGCATGTAGATGCTGTGTTATAAAATTATCCAATAATGATATGTTGATATTAATATTTGTTTTGAGCTTATTTTCTGTGAAGTCTCATCAGTCTCAATTTTGGTTTGAACTTGACTCTTTAACATAAACAGGAAGTAGACAATGGCAGCTTCCTGTTGGTTTTACCTGGTTATTAAATGAGTTTCAGGAAAGAAATCAGAGACTGTCACAAACTGAAGCTTTAGTTTCACTTTAATCCTCTGTTGTTCTTTTGTACAGGCTCCTCATGGGAGATAGGTTCTGTAAATTTGGGCTGAATTTATAAGAGACGTACAGACGATGCTAGCAGCACCTTCAAATAGAGCTGGTCTGATTTTTGATTTCACGAGGGAAACATGATCAGTCTGCCTGAAGTCAGTGTCCCTGCAGCGTTTGTGAAGCTGCAGCTGAATGTTCTGCTGCTGCATTAACATGTATGAGATGATAATGAGGACGAGCTGAAGGTCGCAGCGAGGAGCTTCAGCGACGCATGCATTTATTATCAGCTGGTCATGTGACCGCACATCTTTCAGAATCCTCCTGAGGTTTCCTGATGCTCCACGGTCAAGACAGGTGAGACAGAGGCCACCTGTCCTCAGAGTCCTTCTGTCTTTGCTGCTGGCCTCATGTCCAGGTGATCCAGGGGAAAGTTCTTGCAGTAAATCCTGCGTCAGCTGCCTGAGCATTAAATCCCTGCAGGAATGTTCTGATGGATGGATTAAATGTGTGGAACCTCCTGCTGTTAGCTCAGGCTAACAACTCCCCTTGCTTTCTATAAGGAATGCTAGCAACGCTAAGAAGGCAGCAACTTGACTAAACTGAGGTCAGCAGCAAAAAAACAGAGAAGCAGGTTCATCTGATAAAGACACTGATACTAACAGTGTTATTTTAATGCCTGTCTGTCTTTCTTTCTGTCCTTCTGTCTGTCTATCCGTCTGTTTGTCCTTCTGCAGCTCTTCATCTTCAGAACCATCTCGGTGGACTCGGTGGACTTCACTCAGTGTGCATCTCATGGCAGTTTCAGGCGTCGCTGGCAGGAAACTGTCTACAACATGTTTCACTTCATCACGCTGTATGTCGTCCCCCTCCTAGTGATGAGCTGCTGCTACAGCCGCATCCTGCTGCACATACACCAGCAGCACCTGAGGAACAAAGGTAACTACACTTGAAACACATCTGAAGCTACACCTGGAACTAACCCTGGAACACACCTGATCTCCACCTAAACACAACCATGCATCCCCCTGGCCTTCCTCCATGTGGACACAGTGTGACATCACTGACATAGCCCCTCCCTCTCTCAGCAGGTGAGTCTCACCTGCGTCGCAGCGGCACAGACATCATCCCGAAGGCGCGGATGAAGACTTTGAAGATGACGGTGGTGATCGTGCTGTCCTTTGTGGTGTGCTGGACGCCATACTACCTGCTGGGGATCTGGTACTGGTTCCAGCCCGACATGTTGCGGGTCACACCTGAGTATGTGCACCACGCTCTGTTCGTATTCGGGAACTTAAACACCTGCTGCGACCCTGTCATCTATGGCTTCTACACACCGTCCTTCAGGGCCGATCTCGCCGCCTGCTGCCGCCGGCGGACAAGGAGCGACACCTCGCCGCAATCTGTGGACCGACTGTCAGCCAGGCAGAGTCCTCACAGCGGTGAGCAGCAAGCCGCCACCGACCACCACGCCGCCACAGACTGACGCCGACCAATCAAAGAGCGGCAGTGTGCCGTGTGACTGCAGGGACTTCCTTTGTTCAAAGTGCAGGTTTTTTGTTCTGAAGTGATTTTTGGTTTGAGATGATTTTATTTTTCTTTGAGCAGATTTAATCGCACAGAGTCAAACAAAATAAAGCGTTTTAAAGTGTTTGACTGTTTTTTAACTCAGAGCTGAAGCTTTGACTTTAATATTCACTGATTAATTTAAAAACTTTAACAGAGTTTGACCCTTCATTTGTGTCTCAGACTTGTTAATCACAGATTAATTTAAAGGTTTTATCTGCCGTCACATCCTGTATCAGTTCAGAGCCTCAGTTCATTGACCTCAAACTGTTTTATTCATGACAGTTATATGATTAATTTACATTTAATAAAGGTGGAATCGAGCCTCTTCAGCAGTTTCCTTCATTAAAATGCATGACAGTCACACAGCTGTAAACTGTGAGTCACGCTGATGAAACCTTTCTGCTGCTGTTCGTTAACATTGAGAGAAAATAAAGATCTTAATCATGAGAAATAAAAATGATACAGTCATCAAAGTGAATCTGAATAATCAGACAGTTGTCAGATTAAAGAATCTCATTAAACTTATTTAGATCTTTAAAACAGAAAGTCTTATGTTTATGACCAACTCATCATCCTGCTGTAGAGGAATACACTCTGGTTTGTTTGTGTTTCTTAAAACACAGCCATGGTAGACGGAGCTATGTGAGCTTGAACTAACATTCAAATGGACAAATCAGTAAAAAGAGGATCCAAATCTTTATCAGCACACTGACAGTGAGCAGGTTGCTGCTTGGAGGTTGTTTCCTGTAATGAAGAGACTAAACAGCACAAGTCCTGATAGTCAAACAGCAGATTTATACTGAAGTCTTTGGTGCTAAGTTGGGCTTACGTTTATGTAAAAGTTGTTTATCCTGCAGGATGAAGCACCAGATCAACTAAAGAAACAAGTGAAACTAATAAAAACAAACCAAACTAGCAGCCAAGAGAAACCAGATCCTGGATCCTCCTTCTGTTTTAGCATTAATCTACTTCTTTAAAGTTCCACAGCACAGAAACTCTGGACTCTGGATGATGGATCAGCTCTGCAGGTTCATGTTCTGACCTCCAGTTTGAATTATTAACTCTTGATTTCCAAGAAACCACATTTCTAATTTCTGCTTCTGTTTCCATGGAGAACCGGCCAGCCAGAGGTGTGAATGTAAAGAGATTTAAATCTGCAGTAAATCACTTCTCCATATAAACCAACATCCATCTCATTCAGATGGGTTGCTGCAGTGCTGTCTGAGCTGCAGGTGAATCTAAGTTCATCAAAACTATTCAATCAAAGTTAAAGCTGATATTGATCAGCTAAACAATGCCTTGATCAGATCAGGATGTCCCCGTTTTCAAGGACTGGCTTTCCATCTCGGCTGAATTTGCTTTGTGAGAGAGCGTTTGGAGTTTGACAGAGTCTCTCAGGACACCCGAGTTGGATCTGAGCAGAAAAAGTGTTCAGGTGTACTGAGGAGCAAAAGGTCCATGATGGAGACGGTGGAAGTCAAAGTGTTTGACTTCATGGTCATGGCGGTCGAAGGCTTGATGGGCAGTACGACATTCTGTTGATGCAGGTTCAGGGAACGCAAACAAACAGGTGAGCAGGCAGGTGAGCATTTACAACCATGTTCCAGGGGTGTTTATGGTCTTAACTGCAGGCAAAGAATTTACCTGCACACAGACAGTTACAATCTATAAAAGAAACACAGCGATGCAAACACCTTCACTCCACAGCTTCATGTTATTACTGTGATTAGCAGGTCACATGACAGAATCTGAAGCTCTGTGATCCCATATTTTGGCAGAAATGCTTCTTGTGAGTCGTAGTTAACCATGACAGTCTCATGTTCCTGAGCTTCAATCTTCATCTTTAGTAATAGTTAGGGATGGACTGATACCTCTTTTTGATTTCCGATAC